AGTTATATGTGTTTCAAATGAATCAGTCCCTCGGGAAAGCTTTTACAGATTGAATATGCACTGAAGGCAGCTGACTATGGAGCGCCCTCTGTTGGCATTAAAGCCTCAAACGGGGTCGTTCTGGCCGTTGAGAAGAAGTTTACGTCAGAGTTAATTGACGAAGCGACTGTATCTCGTATCGAACCCGTTACTAAAAACGTGGGCATGGTCTACAGTGGCTTATCGCCGGACTATCGTGTGTTAGTCAAGCAAGCGCGAAAGCTTGCCCAAGGTTATCAATTAGCCTATGATGATTCGATTTCACCGGAGCAGCTAGTTATTCGGATTGCAGCTGTAATGCAAGAATACACACAGTCAGGGTACGTTCTCAAACTTTTGTCTTGAATTCCAATATCCTTTTACCTCTTTTGTGAGCCGCTAGAGAACTTAGAACGCGTATCCTACATGTGAAGGATGTTTGATGCTTACGTGCATGCCCATATATCATATTCTCGATCGGAAAACGGCAGGACAGCGAGTCCGTGGTACAGTAGGTCGCAGCGTTGGACCCCTAACTAACAGGTAGTGGGTTCGAGACTCTGATGGTGCACTGCCTGGAGTTCAGTATGATTGGCTTATGAGGAATGTGCCGAAGAGTATGACTGGTAGTATATAGACGAATCAATAGTTAAACGTTAGAAAACAGAAACATTACTTGGTCGTAGATATTCGTTTTTCATAATTTGTCCCCCAATGCCAAATGGTGATGAGACATCCGGAATCATTTACCCAACCTCCGCCTTTCTATATTCTCACGCATATTCTGTCCAATAGTCCTGCAAAATTGCGTCTTGATCTGCCACGGTTCATTGGGGTCTGGCCAGAATGACTTAACTGCCGTTAGGACTTACTGGTCCTATACATTTTCAACAATTAGTTTCCATTTCTTCCCTAATAATAATGCTGTACAGTCGTGAGTTTTCATCTTATTGACGAGTATTGTGTAAGCAGGTTAAATGAGGTTCAACGAATTATGCTAAGAGACCCAAATTTTCGGTCTGGTCACTCGCTACGCCCAGCTGTGTTCAGAATCATTAAGCGGCCAAGTAAAACCATGTAGTATGTCGATTTTGTTGTCTATTCCATCAGGGCTATGAGCGGTCCGGTGTGTCAGTACTTCTGTCTGCGAACCAAGCCTCTTACATTTAGTAGATTATTCAGCTGTAAAAATTCACCTTGGAAGTAGGCTAAAACAAATCTATGATCAATATCTTTTAGTAAGCTAATGACAACTGACTGCTCGTGTTTATGTTTGTAGCAAGCTTCTTTTCCTTCAGATTAAGTGGTTTTTGGAAGGAAATATGCAAGTTCGTGCAAGTGCTCTTGTAGCATCTTAACCCGTGTCTGACTTGGCGGTCTCCTAGTACGCTGCACACTAACTCGAACTTTTTATTCTGCCGCCTCGTCGCCACTACGAAGGTTTATTGACATTGGAATCCCCTTTTTGGTCCGTATTGGCTAACATTCATGTTTGCAGAATGCACCGAAATCATTTCTTTAGACGATTGTGGTATATCTCCGAGCCAGTGGATCTGATTTCCCTAAACAGAGACGGGAAGAACTGACGCCTCGCAATTCTTGCTCCCATGGTATTTTAAGTACGACATGGGTGAAAGAGGTAGATGTACAGCACACATCTGTCTGCACTATCACCCTTGCTAATATTTTCCGGCCTTCAGTGACCTATGAAAAATCCTTGCAACCGCTGTTCTTCAGGTCTGAACTTCAGTAGAAAGATAAATTTGCACTCTAAACGTAACTTGATCATTCAGGTTAAAGTCCATTCCAGCCGATTAGGGCGTATGCTGTGACACGCAGGTTCATTGACGGTCAGCACATGAACGGTGACATCTTGCGGACCATTTAGAATCCCTATACGCATTTTAAAGGAAAACATGTAACTCTTATAAGTTTTTAATGGAGTGGCAACTTTGTGATGACCAATAAGCATATTACGGACTTGCCCGATCAAGCAAGAAAACGAGCCTGTGGCTCAATAGTTAAGGCGTTCGATTTCCGACCAGTAGGCCACAACTTCGAGCCTTAGGCGTTGCAACGCCTGGGGTTTGGTATGACTGGATTACGACAGTTAATAATCCAGGATTAGCCCTTCCAGTTTCCCTTGTCTTTGTCAGTAATGCTACTTTGTCTACGTTAGGACTTCCACTTAAGTAGTTTGTAACATCCACTGTCTTCATCCTACATACCCCGACTCTTGACCGCGGTCTACTTGATGCGTGCCGACACATGGTTGGCCCGAACTGATAGGTCGGTCTAGTGAATTGCATAGCATACGCTAACGTAACTTGTCTATGACCAACCAACGCGTTGAA